AACCGGTCTCGGCTGGCCATGAGTTTTTATAGAGGGTAGGAGTGCACTGGAATATCTGAAGGGGGTGGATGAGTAGGACTGATTGGGAGAGGGGTGAAGATAAAGCAATGAGAAGTTTGAGAAACATTTCATCAATGTTAATTTTTTAAGGATGATTCTGTAGTGTTACTGGAAGGACTCTTCTCACTGCCTCCCCAGTGCCTGGCACAAAATAAACCCTCAATAGATACTTTGAAATAAATGAATGAATGGAGCAGGTTGGAGAGGAGGAGAAGAAGGGCACCAACTAGACAAAGAAAAGAGCAGAGGCCCCTTGTACCAAGCCACTGAACTAAGGAGAAAGTGCAGAGCCCTGTGACTTAACCATGGTCACCCACCCTCATGTCACATGGGCCCAAAAGTGCCCTCCCTCCTCTTAGCCTCACCTTGGTAATCATTCCAAAACAACGGGGAAGCTCTTTAAAGTGTGTCTTCAATTAAGCACCTTGCTCTAGGTCCAGAAAACTGCCCAAATAAACCTCTAGTTGCTTTGAACCAGCTGAGAAGATTCAAACATTCTCAATGGCAGCCTTTCCTTCTCAGAAAAGATAATGACCATTCCTCCACTTCGGTGTTTTCATGATTAACCGGAGAAAACCCCTGATAATGACTATGGAAACTACTGGAAAGTCTTCTCCCTAAAGCAGACCGGACTGGCTCAGACAGCACGTTTGTTTCAGTTCCACTGGGCTCTGCTGCTAAGAAAGCATCGCCCACGGCCATCTGGGTGCTCCCAGACTCCCCCCAGTGCAGATCCTCGTTTGAGTTGGTGTCTCACTGAATTTGTGGTGCTTCAAGTGCAGCTATTTTAATTGCATACAAGATGTTTAAAGGGCATAAATACACGGCAGCATTTGGAATCCTGATCGAGGGCCAATAGAGAGGTTAGGCAGTGAGTTTACTGCATACCAGGCTCTGCTCTAAGCACTTTGCAAACATTAACTCACTCTCATAACAACCTTAAGATCTAGGTACTCCTAAGTACATTATTATCCCAGCTCCCATTCTTACAGATGATTATTATCACCCTCATTTCACACATAAGAAATGTGAGGCACAATGCAGCTAATGACCTCTGATGTCCTCCAGCTGGTAAGGGGTAACTCCAGGCTTTGCACCCAGGCAGTCTGGTGGCACAGATTACCCTCTTAGCTACGACACCTCACTGCCCCTCTACATGCATGTCCTTGTGAAGGCTGAAATGAAGACATGCTGCCTGACTGGAAACACCCAGACACCTTAGTTTGGGGACTTCTGTTAATGGGTTTTGTACTCCCACAGTGCTAAGCAACCAGGATGTGCTTCACAGCATGTATAGATTGATGACAATTTTCCCCAAATGCATGCGAATATCCCGCCTCCATTGAGCCCTAGCCGCGGTGACACTTACGGGATGCCCTGGGGGATCATTACTAAAAAGCTTATGGGCATTAACAGAAACCAGTTAATGTTGAGAGATTTTGTCATCATTAGCCATCAACTATTTTTAAATTATTTTTTCCCTGATTTCAAAAGTAATGCACAGTCATCAGAAAAATTCAAACCTTACTGAAATATATAAACTATTCAAACATTTAAGTTAATCATACATAACATTAGGACAGTATCTAAAATAATTGAGAGAGGATTTGACTTGCTTTGTAAGGACTTAAATATAAAGAACTCTCCCTTTTTTAAGGGTTAGCTTGAGAGGCAGGGGTTCATAGAGTAATTTTTAAGTTGTCTATAAATGTCTCTTTAGAAGATAAGTCTATTGAGACATGTATAAGAAGGTGAGATAAGTTCATTGCCTTTTTTTTTTTTTTTTTTTTTTTTTTTTTTTTTTTTTTTTTTTTTTTAGTTCATTGCTTTTTTAGGAGCTAACTGAACTTATATAAATGCTCAGCTAGGTCCCTCAGAGCAGCTTTAATCTTAGGTTAGAATGGGAACTACTTGGATGTAAAATATATGTGTAATCTCAACTATTTGCTTTTGAAAATTAAGAGTAAGGATAGGGCCTCTGTCTTCAGGATCTCATCTTTCTTCCATAGCCGTGGTTGCTCCTCAAATCATGTCCCGTGGAAGGATCCCACTAGCTCAAGAGCTTTCTGGTCCTGCTACCTCGGACATGGCGAAGAGGGCTCTGGGAGGCTCAGTGACGACCTTGGAAAACTTCTGGCTTTACCGCTTACTACAGTGGTAGCTTAAACTCAGAGTGCATCTTCATGCTCTTATTTGTCAACAGGTGTAGTGCTACTGTTCCGTCTCTTTCTTAAGGCCAACAGGAAATTATATGAGGTCAAGAAAATGAAAAAGCTTTGTAAACTCTTCGTGCAGCATGTGCAAGTTAGAAGGCAAGGCGATAATTCTTCACTGCTTTAATATCTGCCTTTGGGAAGAATTAGTATTAGGTGGAGAAAAGTGCACTCTGAAACCTAAAATCTTAAAAAAGGAAGTTAATGGCTCAAACAAATGTCAGATTTATTTATAAGTGGTAATTAATGGAAAATGAACTTGGTGTACTGAGCAGTCAGAGGAACATTTGGGTTTCAAATCCTCTCTACCAATCATCTCTCCTTGAAAGGAAAAAAGAAGAAAAGAAAAGAAAGGAAAGAGGAAGGAAGGAGAGAGGGGAGAAAGGAGGGAATAAGAAAAGAGCAGAAATAAATAACTCAGGGGCAAAGGCACCAGAGAGAACATATTTGTTTGTCCAATTCCTCTTGTTTGAGCTCCTCCAGGTTGGAACTGGATCTCCTTCATCTTTGTGTGGCACATCCTAGAGACTATTTAGAATGAATCATATGGCATTGCCATTTTTATAGACAAAAACAGTCTAATACTGGCAATGCCATATGAGTCAACCCCCAGTGTTAGATAAAGATACAAGAGATCTAAGGGTTATAGTCAATCAGTCAGTTTTAACCTGTTCCCATATATACCTATTTTCCATTTCCAGGAACTGGCCAGAGAGGTGGGATTTCCCTTTCACTGTCTGTTTGACCCATAAGATATTTCTTTTAAAGCTGCCTTTGGTGTTCTCTTGAATTCAACAATTTTTAAATATTAAGTACATGCTGTACTAATGTCCCTTCCTTATGGCCTTCATACCTCTACAGAAGAGGCCTCATTATGAGCCAACTTTAAATTTCCATTTTTCTTGATAGATATAATAGGCTCTAGCCAAACAAATAGATGTTCTTCACTATTGTGTTTACAGATTTTTTTTCTTTCCTTCTTTCCTCCCTCTTATTCCCTCCCTCCTTTATCCTCCCCCTCCTCGACCTTTTTTTCTTCCTTTCTCTCCCTTCCTTCTTTTCTTGCTCTCTCCCTCCCTCCTTCCTTCCCTCTCTTCCTGCCTCCCTCCAGCCTTTCCTTCTTTCCTTCCTTCCCTACCAGCTGAGCTAGGTAGACTTGAGTGAACTAAGAGGCATGGCCAGGCTTATATCATGGGTTCCTAGAGAGGACACAGGACAGAGGTTATGTTGAATGGGATTTATGTGAATCAAGTAAATCTCTAAGTGGAGGTCATGAACTTCAGCTCCTCCTTCCATATATTTATTTCTTTTATTTACTTTTGCCTGAAAGACCAGGTTTGACAGTGTTTGGCATAACGTTCACACCGTCACAACAATTTTTGCATCACATTGTGCAGAGCAGCATTGCAAATGCTGTTTTTATCATAATAACTATATTCAGAAGCCTAGGAAGGTACAATGATTTTATAAAATACAGTTCCTCCTTGATGCAAATCCAAACAGCAGTAGAGACAGGGCCTGGTAGAGATAGCATGATGACCAGGTGGACACACTAGGATGTAGTCTCAAAGGGCAGGCAGTGTTATCTGCTTTGTTCCCTGCTGCACCTGGGGCCTACAGCAGAGCTAGGAATGAGGTGTTGTGAGGGAGCAGGCACTTAGGCCTCTAAGGCATCTTTATCTGAACTAATGAGACAGATAGTGGGCACTCAGAAATAGTTGTTAAAGGGATGAACAGGCATTGTGGTTCAACTATTAAGTTGAGGTTATTGTAATTCCATAACAACTCAGTTTACTAGTCATATATCCCCTCCAAGCCTCTGTTCCCTCATTTATAAAAATGAGGATTATAGTGCCTTTCTGGCAGGACAGTTGAGAAGATTAAATGAAAATTCATGAATAGCATTATGACCAATATAATAGTAGTCACTTATAAATTCTAGTGTCTTTTCTTCCCTTGCTTTTGTAGTTTTCTGAAGATTACATCTGTGTGTATGTGAGAGAGAGAGTGTGTGTGTGTGTGTGTGTGTGTGTGTGTGTGTGTGTCTGTAGGGGGCAGGGAGGCCAGGAGAAACAATTTTTTTGGTTCATGTTAATCAAGATTACTCAAACTCAGTTCAGCACAGTGCCATTTTAGGCTGTAGAATCCTTTGTTGTGGGGGCTGTTCTGTGCACTGTAGGATATTTAGAAGTATCGATGTCTCCATCTACTAGAAGCAGTTACTTCCTCCAGCTTGACAACCAAACATGTCCAAACATGTCTTTAGATATTGCTGAATGTTCCCTAGGAAGCAAAATTGCCTCCTGTTAAGAACAATGGACTCTAGTCACCCATTGAATAATTAAATATTTCAATTTATAAACAAGTTGTCAGGTACTATGTTCAGTTGCCTGAGGTTATAATATATGTTTAAATATATATTAAGCCAGGGTATATACAGAAAAAGAAATAAGCAAAATATCAAATTAAGCTATACAATCAACCCATAATTATCCATGAAGTGAATAATGATTTAGATAATAGGAATGTTATTTCAGTCACACAATTGCCCTGCACTAGATTGGTTTAGACTCATCATATTAATAGCAGTCAATTTCCTGGACACACACTGGCTAATACAAGTGCATAGAGAGAAATTGCTTTCGTTTCTTAAATGTTCCTGGATACCCACAAAGTTCCCACAGGTTATTAGCAAACTTAAGAAGTAATAGCAACTTTTATACTTACAGGTGAATTAATGACTTCAGTCCCCGGAAAGTATGTCTTGAAATGGACTTGATGTTGTTGTTTTCTATGAATCTGCAATAGGTTATAACATTTTTGTCAGCCAGCTGTAAAAATCTGAGAGCACTTGTCCTGAATCATTATGTTAAAAAATGTTGTTGTTGTTTTTACTTACAAATACTCTAAATGTGGAAGACCAATAAAAGCATCATCACTGATCACATCAAAGGAGTTGGATGTGAATAACCTGCCCAGAAAGAGTACACAATGAAAATGGTTAAACTGACAGATTGTCAATTTATGCTGCTTTATCTCTCAAAGAATCAGGTGGGAGTTGTGTACAGAAAAATGCCTGGATGTCTGCTTTCTAAAATGTTATCTATTTAGGTAATTTTTGTAGCTTTTTTAAAATCCCCAATTATCTCCTCACCAAATGCTCACCAAGGAAGGTGGGCTTTGTGGCCCACTCATCCCAGTGATGGATGTCACATGCCCTCGGTAACTTTTTGAGATACAATTTGGGCACTATGACAGCCAAATCAACATTTTATGCATTTTCATGAAAAAACAAAACAAAAACAAAACAAAACACACACTAGGAATCTTTTCTTTGCCCTAAAAACTTCTGGAACATTCTGACCATCCCAAACAATGGTGCTTCTGGATTTTAACCACTATGATATCTCTTAGATGAGCCATTGATACTGGCTCAATGAACATCAACTAAACTCTTTCTATGAAAATAGAACAGGAATTTCAGAGGGAAGGTGGGGGTGAGGATGGGAGATAAACTGTATACATGCATATATGCATAGCCCATGGACACAAACCATAGTGTGGTAAAGGCTTGGGAAAAGCAGGTGCAGGGTAGAGGGGGTCAATGGGAGAAAAGAAACAAAAATAAAAAACAAAAAACTCATAGTGGACATCTGTAATACTTTCAACAATAAAGATAAATTTAAAAAATAAATAAACTTAAAGAACAGAACAGGCTGAAGGTGTGAAATAATGAGGCTTAGGAACAGTCTTAGATCCAGTTTATTACTAAATAGTTGAAAAGAACACTAACTTGGACAAATTTATTTGCAATTCAAAATCCACAGGGATTTGGTTTCAAAATCACCAATGAAAAGGAACATTAACCAGCAGTCCTCACACCCTGTTGAACTCTGGAAAACTTGCCGATTTCCTGAATGGAAATTCAGGAATTTCCATTTAGTTGATGATGAGGCTTAAAAGAGGTGATCATAGGCTAAACAACACAAAGCGGGTTTTTAGAGTGAGCATTAATTTTTGGAAATCGATAGATAAAATAATACAAATGAAAAATAAGGTTTTAAATGTACTGATGACAAATTTATAATAACATTCAGTCTACATGTTAAGTTTCTTGTGCAGGTGAATCTCATATTCCATCTGTAACTATTGTCCAAAATGTGACCATGATCATGGACCAGACCAGATGTTAGACATAATTTGACAATTCACATCTCATATATACTGTTTAATTGCACTATTGAAAGTTCAATATTCTCTGCTATAACATTTTTGACCTTTACTTTTGTAGTCTAGCAATTAAAAATAACATACACTAACTAGTTTAGTGACTTCATCTCTCTGAGCCTGTTAACTAAGGAGATTAAAAGGAGGAGACCTCGCTTTCTGAACAGTTATGAATAACTTATTTGAAATCTGAAATTGCTTCAAAATAATCAGGGGAGGAGACAGCCGTGACTTAGAGGTGAATTAAGCATGAGGTAATAATTTTTGAAGCTGAAAATGAGTACATGGGAGTGAACTTTATTATCTCTACTTTTTATATGCTTATGCTTAAAATTTTTCATAAAAATGGGGGGAGACATGAGCCAAGCAAATGAAACTAGATGATCTCTTGCACTTCTTCCTAAATTATCAATCCTGGAGTGATATTGTATTCTCTTTTACTTCCCTCCCTCCATTGTCATAGCTTTATACTCAAGTAATTCACCACTGAAAAGTCAACACTGACAAATAGTCATACATTTTAAATGCCCTTAGTTAAAACAAATTCAAGTGTGTATGATTTTAGTCACAACTTTGGCAATTGCCTCCTCTTCGTGGTTCTGTAATACCCAAGAAGATTATGTGCCTTTACTCCAAGATAAGCTAACATCCAAAGACTTCCTGAGGCTCCACATTTTCATTTCATTCTGTACAGACAGCATCAGGGGTGTGGAGAGAATGGAATAAAGCAGAAATAGATACAGAGAAATACTTCCCATGCTCACTGGTTTACCAACTGTCTCGTGGGTGGACCAGAAACTTCATAATCATACACTTCAAGTCACCAGAGAAATAGCTTCTCTCACTAGTTCCCCTTATGTTGAATCAGATGTAAAACAGAGTGGGAAATGGATATTTGTGGACAGAACCTGCCCACACATGTCAGGGAAATAAAACGTAGGTATTTCCACTAGAATTTTTTATCTGCTTGTTTTTGCTTATCCCTACCATCTATAATACTACATAATGGATATTGAATAAATATTTGTTAAACCAAGAGGAATTCACTCTATATTAAATTCTGGGCATTACCACATTACTAAATTGGTAAGAGCAAGGACTTATCTTTATTTGCTTTTGTCTCCCCAGCTCTGAGCACAGTTTCTGGCAGAATAATGTTTGTTGAAATAGATTTCAAGAATTAAACTTTTGGTTAAAACTTCAACTACATACAAAAATATGGATGACTTCCACAAATTTAAGTCAAGGGAAAGAAAACAGAGCACAATGAAGTATCTCCAATAGTATAGGACCTATAAGATAATACTTATATAAGCAACAAAACCCAGCAAAACTGATTTATGTCAGGATAGTGGTTACCCCAGGAGGCAAGTAGTAACTGGAAGGAGACATAAGGGGAGTCTTTAGGAATAGTTATAATGTTTGGTTTCTGGGTGCTAGTTATAAGAATGTTCACTTTATTGAAAAATCATGGCAGGGGATGAGTTAAATAGGCAAAGCACAGATGATTTTAGGGCAGTAAAAATACTCTGTATGACACCATAATGATGGATACATGTCATTGTACATTTTCCCAAACCCATAGAATGTGCAATACCAAGAGTGAACCCTAGTGTAGATTATGGACTCTGGGCAATAATGTATAATAGGTTCATCAATTGTAACACATCTATCACTCTGCTGGAGGAAGTTGGTAATGAATGAGGCTATACATGGGTCAGGGTAAGGGTTATATAGGAAATCTCTAAGTCTTCTGAAGTTTTCTGTGAACTTAAAACAACTCTAAAATATAAAGTTTTTAAAAGTTGAGATGTATATGTAGGGTATATGCACTTTTTATTATTTTTTTTTTTACAATTTTTTATTGATTTCAGAGAGGAAAGGAGAGGGAAAGGGAGAGTGAGAGAGAGAGAAACATCAATTATGAGAAAGAATCATTGATTGGCTGCCTCCTGCACACCCCACTCTGGGGATCCAGTCCACAACCCCGGCATCTAGCCTGACTGGGAATCGAACCATGACATTCAACCACTGAGCCATGCAGACCAGGCCTGCAATTTTCTTTATGTATATGATATTTCGATAAAAAGTTTTCTTATAAAAGTGAAAATTTTTCCCTTTGTCTGAGATAATAATGAATAGCAGTCCTTCAATTCTAAATTCAGTTGTGGCTTTCTGTGGACAAAGATTCCATGGATAAGGATGTGTAAAATTATACATGCATTCTAAATCATTTAAGTGGGCTATCCATTTTATTATCCTCTGTAAAGCTAAAAAGACTTTACAAGTGCATGTCTTATAAAGTGGATGAAACTCTGATCCTTAATATTTTATGGATTCTTCTGAACACATTTGCTTTCAATATTATAACTTGTTTTTGTATCAGATATGTTAAAGAATCCCACAGTCCCTGATAAGAAAAACTGTGCCCACCCATCCCATCTGCACATGCAATAGACTTGGGGCAGCCCAGATATCTGTGCTTTATACCATACAACCTTTGTCTCTCTCCTCAGATTATTAGGGCAAGAAGGACTCAGCTTCTTACTCAGAGTAGCTAATTCTGAGGTTGGTCAGCATGGCACAGCCTGGATCAAAAAGATGAGTTGGGCTAAAGATGAGTCCCTTCACGGGGTTTAAGAATCAGAAGACGGAACCAGCTGGCAGAAGAGCTGGAGGAGAAAGGATGCCTTCAGGTTGAGTTAAATACATGGCAGGCAGAAGTGTGTACAGGACACACTTAGAAGAGAGCACAATTTGAAGATTTGTGTGCAAAAGATAGGTGTGTGTGAAGGCTGGAGCAGGGAGCCCTCTAGATCTGTGTTCGATCTTAAACCAATACTTCTCAATCTTGGTCACACTTGGAATGACCTGGTGAACTTTAAAAATACTGTTCTCAACCTTAGGGATTCTGCTTACATTCTATGCCTGGGGAGCAAAGGACAGAGAATGAAGATCCGGCCTCATCAGAAGAAGGTCAAAACTAAGGCTGTCCATCATCCAGCTGAGAGGCCAGAGGTGGGGGGTCCCCAGAAGTGAAAGTACTGGACAGGCACATGCGTCAGTGTCAAGGCCGATTGGTCACTGAAGCACTTTCCTACTTTGCTTCTCATCTCTTCTAGGGACTGGGAAGGAGCACTTGGAAGAGGGAATCAGGAAGCCTTGGTTGTAATTCCCACATGGCCATGAATCCTCTGACTGGCCTTGAGCATGTTACTCCTCTCTAAATCATCAAATCAAAGGTCTAGACTAGATAACTTTTTAGGTCACTTCTAACTTGAAAGATGCATGATTCTTTACTTGCAGCGTTGTGGGCTTCATTCATGTAATAGTAGCCATGGGCTTTGCATGGGGAGTGGTAAGTCTACAGATGGCTGCATGGGAATGGTAACACTGCTGAGAAAATGTCTCTTTGTCTCAAATCAGACTGCCAAATGGTCACACCAGGGCCCCATGGCTCTAGACACCCACTTCTTCAAATTCTGTCTAGTCATCTGTGACATCTTGATTACCATCAGAATTGTCATTTGCCCATGGGTGGGCTCTATCCTGTCTTCCAACCCAAAGCAGATTCTCCTGGCTAAGAAGGGGAGATAAACTAGGGGGCTGTCCCATACAATATCCTCTCCCCTCCTACCTCATGAGGACCGTTCTGGATGAAGAACAGAAGAGTGAGCACTAAGTTGTCACTTGAAGATCACATTGATTATAGAATAAAGAATCTAGTTTCTAAGCTTGTAGCTG